TGTGTGTGTGTGTGTGTGTGTGCGTGCGTGCGTGCGTGCGTGCGTGCGTGCGTGCGTGCGTGCGTGCGTGCGTGCGTGCGTGCGTGCGTGTGTGTGTGTACCAGTCATATCAGATTCGAGGTCCACACTTCTCCAGTATGCTTTCATCATAACCAGCCACATCTGAATCAACCTTATCTCCAAGCAAAGTCAAATTCTTTGGGTTAAGGTTTTAATAAATGATTTTTTTTGTGGAGGAAAGAATGATTGTGTCTGTGACGCCCTATCAACAGAAAGTTGTGTAGTTGCAACAAAGACCTGTGTGACCCACGAAGCTGTTTGAAGCCAGCCCAGGCAAAAAGAGTCTGTGAGACCCTTATATCTAACCACCAGGGAACCAGAAGTAGAGAAAACTGTGACTCAAAGTGATGGAGCACTAGCCTTGAGTGGAAAAAGCTCAGGGACAATGCCCAGACCCTGAGTTTAAGCCACACAACCAGCAAAAACTGAGAAAGGAAGGAAGGAAGGAAGGAAGGAAGGAAGGAAGGAAGGAAGGAAGGAAGGAAGGAAGGAAGGAAGGAAGGAAGGAAGGAAGGAAGGGAGGGAAGGAGGGAGGGAAGGAGGGAATTATGGGCTATAGAATTTTCTAACTCATGCTGCTTACAGACTTTTAACTGCAATTGTATTTTAAGTAACTTTTAACATTATTTGGGTTTTTGATATTATCGTGCAACAATTTCATCTGGTAAGTAGTCAGTGGATGTTTTCTTCCAGGAGGGAAAGGAAATCATTCCTATTTATTCCTTATCCTCTTCCGGCACGGTGCCACCCACTTCTCCGCTCCCTTTGTGGCTTGCCATAGTTTACTGTGCTCTGCTACAAACCTTTCTAACCAGGCCACTGTTCCCCACCGCTGGGAAGCGTTCAAGACAGACACTGAGCAAACAACAAACCTGCCTGTTTATCCACTTGGGTCTATGGATTCTTCGTGTCTTTATTTAGCTGTCTCTTGTAAGTTGGAGAGAAAAGGTTCTGGCTTTTATCTCCTCATTAAAAATAGATCCTTTTATGACAGAGGGGGGATGGAGCAGCGATGAGTCACCGTCTTCAGCCTGTGTGGTGCTGGATCGAGCCCAAGGAGAGGGGGCCTTGAGGTGGGACCCAGCCCCCCCCATGACCCCCTCATTTCTTCTTCTTGCAGGAAGTTGGACGCTTTCATCTATGACGCGGCGGTGTTGAATTACAAGGCCGGGAGGGACGAAGGCTGCAAGCTGGTGACCATCGGGAGTGGGTACATCTTTGCCACCACGGGCTATGGAATTGCCCTCCAGAAGGGCTCCCCCTGGAAGAGGCAGATCGACCTGGCTCTGCTGCAGTTTGTGGGTGATGGTAAGACTCCAGGCTCCCCTACCTTTGGGGCCGCCTTGAGACCTCTCAGTCTGTTTCCTAATTGGCTTCCCAGACTTTTATGCAATGAATTTGCTCAGCCAAACTCTCTTAAGTGCCTATCGCATGCCACATCCAATTCCTTAGTTTGCTTAAAATGGAAACCGACCCTGGATAGCTAAATTTAAAGCAGCAAATTACATTAAGGATACAGAATAATCTCTCGCCATGGATTTAGCAAAGAGTTGAACAGATTTAGAGAGAAGTAGGAACAAGGGAAGTTTTGGTACCAGAACCGTGGGAATCCTCTCTCTCCAGAGGTGAGTCTCGGGGAGAACAATTCCCCCCCCCCATCACCCAGAGGACATAATCAGCAACATCTGGGGATGTTTTTCGGTAGTCACACCAGGAGAGTACTTGATACCTACATCCAGAAAATAGAAGGTAGGGATGGAAACTATTAGCAAACATCCTGTAACACCCAAGGCAACCCCTGTACCTCAAACCGCAGAACGCCAAACACCAGAAGTGCTGACGGGAGTAATGTCCCTGCAGAGCTTTACAGAGCTTTATGTAACTAGGGCCTCTGTGTTAGTCAGTTTTCCATTATCATGATAATATACCTGAGCTGGCCAACTTAAAAGCAAGCAAAGAGGTACTTTTGCTCCTGATTTCTGAGATCTCCGCTCATGGCCCGTCCCCTGGCCTGGTTTGATTTAGGCCCTCCGTGAGGCAGAGCCTCGTGGCAGAAGTACGTCACAGAGGAAAGCCGCTCAACAAAGAGACAGAGAGAAGGCACTGGGGACAGTGTAACCCCTGCAGGGCCGCCTCCCCAGCCAGCTACTTCCTCCAGTGAGGCCCTGCCTCATAGAGTCCACCCACCTTAGCCCACCAAGTTACCACCCCTACACCAAGAGAGCCCCACTTCTAAATCCAGCTTCATTGGGGATCAAGCCTGCTCATAGACAAGCCTTTGGGGGACAAGATCTGAACACAGAGCTATCCAAGTCCTCACCTCCATTCTCTCAATTCAAGATTTCAAATTCCAGAGGATGGATTTCTCATACATTTTGGGATCAATAACTCTTGTGAACCCCTTGGAGCAACCAAGAGGTAGAGTCAATGCAACAAACCATGGCAACTCCTGTTACTTAGCCTAGGGAGGAAGGAGAGAGGCCGTCTCTAGCAGAGGGAGAGTGGGCAGAAACGCCATGGCTTCCTATTACACTTCTCCTCTTCGCTGTCTACCGTGCAGTTTCTGCCTGCGTGAGGTTTATAGTGAAATGGGCTAATGCCATTTGTGGACTGGCACAGCTGAACGGGCATTTTCTTCTGCCCACACTATAGCGGAGTCTAGAGTTCCCTGACATGACTTTCCAAGTCCTGCCCTGTGAAGTAGGGAAAGGAAAATCAACAGAGAGCAGAATGGCAAGAGAAAAAAATTGCAAAAATAAGGCAGAAGCCGCAGTCAAGAGTAAAGTGAATGCCAGAGACATGGCTGAAGTAACAGGCCAGCGGCCTAGCAAGCACCAAGCCCTGTGTTCAATGCCTGGCATTGCTGCTGCTACTACTAATAATGATCATCATAATAAAGAACAGGTAGAGACTGTTCAGAACATGCTATGCTTATTCTGAGTCAGGAAAACCAAGCAATCATCACAATCAAATGCACTCTTGAAACAGGCCGAGGGGAGAGCATAGGACTGGTGTGAATTTGAATGTGGGATGTGGGCTTTTCTTAAAGCTTTTTCTCCGCTCTTTTTTTTTTTTTCCCTTTGAGTCCCAGAATCAAGCCCCCTTGCTCGCCACAGAACACCATCAGGCATGCTGAATGCATTTTATATGGAACTCTGACATGACACTGTCTGGTTTGGGGGAATTCTCTCTTGAGCATTTGTGCTTTCCTCAGCTCACTACGCAGGCCCTCTGCTGGGCGGTGGTGGCTGGTGGCTGTGTGGGCCCGCGATCGCTGTGGAGTGGTAGAGTTAGACCTGCCACGGTGGGGGGAGGGAAGAAGCCCTGCCCAGGCTGGGGTAGATTTGACGACTCATGATTCTGACGCCCAGTTGGCTGGTGTTACCTCCTCCCCATAGGCTGCCCCCTGCGGCAGGCTGGCGGGCACTGGTTACTGGGGAGTGGTCTCTCTTGGCCTACGGAAGAAGCATAAAAGAACACGAGCGTGCGCGTGTCAAGGCCCTGCTTCATCACATTCCTGTCTCCTGATATCCTCCTGTTTGAGTCCGATGGCCAAGGCCAAGAGACTGGAAGGAGATCAGGAGTTTTAGGACAAGGAGCATGGGCAGAGGGAAGGCACTGAAGATTTGGGGTCAATTATTCCTCAGTGTGGGTGAACTGTACAGCGAATGAAGAGTCTTGGTTCAGACGTGAAGAAGAGTCATGAAGGACTGAGTGGATAAATGCATGTGTGCGTGGAGGCTTCGTGACAGGGTGTGTTTTATTTGACAGGAAGCTTTTACATGTGGTGAGGGTCTGTCAAATGAATGAGTGGCTCTCCCCGCGTTGATTCTGAAACTGCTGACACCATCAGGAGAAGGGGTAGAGCCGATACCACCCCTGATACGGCCACAGCTACTCTTTCATTTCATCTTCCGAACAACTTCATGAGATTAACAACTGCTCCTTCCCATCTCTGGGAGATTCGAGTGTCTGCTCCACTGGGAAGCAGAAATGCATCTCCTCCAGGGGCCTTATTCTGGAAATGGGTCAAATTAGGTAAAAGTTCTGTTGTTTTTAAAAAATTTTTTTCTAAGATGTCCAGCCAGGTGGATTAATTAGACACTTGAGATTTATTAGCCTTTTAGGCAGGAGTAATTTAGTATGTATCTGAGCCAAATCCGAACATTTCCCTTTCACAAATATTTCTATGAAAAGGATGGCCTTTCTTAGCGTTAGTTTCCTCATTTGTGAATGGGTGCAGGCAAAGTTACCTGATAAGACTGGGAGATGAAGTGGAGGATGCGTGTTGGGAGCTCAGGGTACCTCAGAACGTACAGTGTAGAAATGGTTCCATGAATAACCCATCACCTACATCACAACCACCACCATCATCACCACCCTTATCACCAGCATCGCCACCATCAACCACCATCACCACCATTATACACACGGCCACCAGCACCATCATCATTGTAATCATGAGCACCAAGAGCCTCATCATCACTTTTCACGATCATTTCCATCATCGCCATCATACCCACCATCACTTCCGTCCTCCCCTTTCTCCCCTCTCCACCCTTCTCCTCCTCTCCTCCAATGCCGTGGTCCATGCACAGCTCGTAGATACAGCAGCTAATGTGGTGTTACCCTGGCAAGAACATACTCGAGTTTTCTCATGGAAACCAACCTTTGGGGTGCTGAACGGAAGCCATGTTCTTCTCTGCCTGTCATAGACATTTACTTACAGAGCATTGGGTCCTGATGGATATTTTCTGGCCGGGCTCATTGCTTTCCTGGTTACACTGTTAGGGTTGGGGAATGTGTCTTTTCAGCTTCATTTTTTTTTTTGAGGCCATCTGGAAGCAGAGACATGGTTGAGAAAATGACGCTGCTCCAGGGGGTGTCTTAAGATTATCTTCCCGGAAAGCCATGTCCAATTCTGAATGTCTCTCTAGGAGTAAATACATGAATTAACACAGCTGCATAAATATTTCACTTATCTTATGCAGCTTCAGCAGGATTAATTAGGCTCTAAAATTAGACCTGTAAAGAGCACAGTGCCAGGCAGTACCTAATTATTATTCATCCTTTGGAATGGAGTGTTTATCTCTTGTTATAGAGTAGCTTCAGTGGACGATTAGGAGTCTAATGAGTGTCAAAAGTGTAAAAAAAATTTCTAATGAGCTGTGTAAATATAACTTTTCAGTGGAGTGTTTGGTGATTGAGGGAACCTCTTACATGAAGCCTGCCAGGCTTTCCCTTCAGAAGCAGAGTGACTAATCCACCCTGAGAGATAGCAGCTAGATAAGAGGATCATCAAACAGATGTGAGACACCCTCGTTATTGTAAACGAGAAATGAGTGTCCAGAATGGGTCCTTAGAAATATGTATAGTGAGAGATTTCGAGAAAGACTGCAATGCACCAGAGTTCATGGATGCCACCGTGACTTATTCATCCAGCAACCAGAAAAATGTCTCCCTGGCACCTAAAGATGACATACTAAGAATATAGACTCGGCCAGCCAGGGCCGGCTGCTGAGAGTGGCGTTTTTGGCTGCAGAGTAGAGGTTGAGCAGGGGATCGCCTAGGCCCTGGCTAGTGGATAATGCCATGATTGGTAATAGGACTCTGGGATTTGAAGAGGCAGAAGGAAAGCTCTTAGAGGTCAAAGGCTTCCCGCCATACAGAGCCCAGCCAAAAGACATCAAGGGGACTGGGACTGCATAGTTGAGTCACTGAGGGGAAAAAATGGAACTGAGGAAATGGAATCAACTTGGCTGCCGAGCTCCTCTTCTGCGAGTCAGCATCACGCCTCCTAGGAAGTTTCCACACGGCATTCCCGAATCTATCTTCTCACCTCTGATCTGTGAAGTTGGAAAGTGAGGCTTGGTTTGGTTGAATGAGAGTCACCGTGGAGCTTCTCATTTTTTTTTTTTACACGAACAGGAAAGCACGCAGGAATGTTAAGATGGATTCATTTTAGTATCTTAGGGACCCTAAGATCTGTCCTTCCTCTCCTGTCTCCTTCCTTCTTTCCTTCCATCCAACCTTCCTTCCTTCCTTCCCTCCTTCCTTCCTTCCTCACCCTCACCGCCGCATCTTGAGCCAGGCCTCAAGCCCTTTCATTTTTGAGGCAAGGTGTTACTAGCTTTGCCTGGGCTGGCCTTGAACTCAGTCTCTCCCTGTCTCCACATCTGAGCTGCTGGTATTGCAGGCATGCACCACCAAGTCAAGCTTTAGATTCTGCATTCTCAATAAGCAGTGCTGATAATGTGTGAGCAACACCGTGTATAGATTTGTATAGAAGTAAAATTGAACCAGGCTCA